TCATCCCATTACTATCGTAATGTATTGTGGAGAGCCAGATGTCTTTGTGAATATGTCTTTGTGAATATGTCTTGGTGAATATGTGTTGGTGAATATGTCTTGGTGAATATATCCTGGTGATTATGCCTTTGTGAGTATATCTTATTGAATATGTCCTGGTGAATATATCTTGGTGAATATATCTTGGTGAATATATCTTGGTGAATATATCTTGGTGAATATATCTTGGTGAATATATCTTGGTGAATATATCCTGGTGAGTATGTCTTTGTGAGTATGTCTTATTGAATATTTCTTGGTGAATATATCCTGGTGAACATGTCTTTGTCAGCCAATCTAATTGACTATGTCTTGTCGAATAATATGTCTTGGTGAATATGCCTTGGTGAATACGTCTTGTGCATATAACCTGGTGAATATATCATGGCGGGTACGTCTTGGTGAATATGTCGTCGTGGGTAACTTCTGGCGCTCATCCTTAGCTATAGTAATGTACCGTGTACTCATCTCTAACAGCCTGTTTTAAGTGAGCTCTTTCTGACAGTCTCTCCAACTCTCTGGACGACCTGGTATTTAGTTTGCTATTTTCATTTGGTTTTATGAGATTGGATCTTGTTGCTGGACTGAACAGGCTTTGATGATTATTTTGCACATTAAAAAAGAAAAAAAAATGTTTTAACAAGAAAATCGATTGGAAATTCCAAAAAGCTATATTATATCTAGGAATATCGAATGCTTTGAAAAGCTCACGGGCTACACGTGTAATAAGGCTCGATCAACGATCTAAAAAATGTTACGTTATTGATATGAACGTGGGGACTGATGCCTTTAATCCATTTTTATTCGCGTAAGTCCAGTGGTACTTATAAACTATCACAATACTGAATTAGTGGAGGGTACATTGATTAGAATCTGTCATTCCTGGAAAAAATTCATAGCTACCAAATGAGCAAGATAGATGTTAAATTCATTGTCGAGTCCGCCGGGGTTCTTTACTCGAGAATGTTAAGCAGACGTTGTTTTTTTTTTCCCTATTGAGCTCGTGACTTTCTTGAAAGGGGTTACCTAACCACATTGACCGCAGTGGCGTAGGTATAGGGTGGGTGCTACCCGGGGAGGGGGGGCACGATTTTCTACGTCTCGGGTACAGCCTATGTGTTTTTTTTTTCTTTTTTTTTTTTTTTTTTACTTCAACGTAGCTTAGTGTCAACCACTCCACTTCACTTTTTTTTGTTTTTAATTGAACTCACCGATTAAATGTGTAGCTCTGTACCAACACCACCCCTTCCTTGATTGGGAAAAGTGTGTTTACATTCTATTTGTTCCAAAGTAGGCTATCCGCTGAAGCAATTTCTAGAATTTCTTTCCCTGGAGGGTTCTAACTCACTCCCTATATATAAGCTGGCAGCTTTCCCAGCCGGGAGAGATTTTTTGCTATTTTCCTAGACACATACTTACAAGATTGTACTCTTTAAATGTATGTGTAAGCTAATATTTGTATCTTTTGAGGACTGTGCCTTTTCCCTTGCTGTGCTTTTGTAAGTTGATGTGGTTTTTATTGACTTGAATATTGTAAATAGCATTTGTTTTGATATCGATTTTCTTTGCATGCAGTTTTTATTTTTATTTTTTTAGTTCTTTGATATTTGGAGCGGACCGACCACTCCCCAACTTTCCTGCGCCACCTCACAGGATATACTAAATGGATTCAATTTAGGTTCTAGGCTTAAAATTAAATGTTTTAGTTTATCTAACAGTTTTCAAACAATTTTTTTTTACACATACATTAAAAATATATATAATAATTTTAACTAAAATATTACAAAAATGTTGTGCAAGAAGAAACCTTCTTTAAATAAGTTGTGATCCACTTTTATTTTGGGATAATTGTTTCATGCATTTTTTGCAGAAATATTTCAAATTTTTATTTTTTGGTCAGCACTTTTTTTTTTAGAAGCACTTATGACTTAACTGCTTAATTAACCATTTATTTTCATGATATGATACCAGTTAAACTCGTTTGATAAACAATATCTGCGTTTACGAAAAAAAAAATTTAAGCAGCTACTTTTTAAAACAATTTATTCTTTTAATTTTCTTTTGGAATGGGAGCAAAATGAAGTGTTTTATTATTTTTTTATTTTTATTTTCAAAATAAAACAGGAATTGATTCCATAAATGAATTAAATTTTTAGAACCATACAAATATATTTCAAAGCATTTTGTTCCTGGTGGCTGTTGGGAATAGGTTGGGTGCAGTGGCGTAGGTAAGATTAGTGACATTAGGGATGGGTCAAAATTTTACCGTCTATCTTCCACAAAAAAAAAAACAACACTTTGCAGTTGACCGAAAATGTCGCCCCTCCATAAATTTTTTTAAAAATATGCCGCCCAGGGCGGACCGCCCCCCCCCCCCCCCTATTAGGGATGGGTCAAAATTTTACCGTCTATCTTCCACAAAAAAAAAAACAACCCTTTGCAGTTGACCGAAAATGTCGCCCCTCCATAAATTTTTTTAAAAATATGCCGCCCAGGGCGGACCGCCCCCCCCCCCCGCTCTCAATTCCTGCGCCACTGGGCTATTATGATGGAAACTGAGCCAAATCAAATAATCTTTAATAGCAACCTAAAAAGCACTATTAAACCAATAATTTGTGTATCTGTTTCTAGATTTATTTATAGCTCAAACAGAAAGCATCACAGCAGTAAGGTATATCAAAGCAGTCACTTGCGCATTCTTGGGGAGTGATTATAGTACGCCACCAACCCCTCCCCCCCCTTAATCCCCCTTACACAGGCAGGGACACTGCAATGATTATTTTATGAACGGTTTAGAGGCTTCTTTATAACAGATTAATGGATTTTTGTTTTTTGTTTTTAGCGTAGCAAGGAAAAAATGGAAGGCTTTGCAATTATGAGTTTACGTTTAAAATTATGATTTAATTTTTTTTTTTAAACACAGCGATACATTTACACTTTTGTGTAATTTGACTATAGGCTAGTTACCAAATGTTTCCTTTTTTTTTTAAATAGGAGTCGAGTCTTAGGAAAAAAGTTCAAGAATGACACAAAATCCCCCCCACCCCTTTTTTTAAAAAAAAAAATGTAATTATTTCAAATGTTTTCTTTTTTTTTAAATAGGAGTCGAGTCTTAGGAAAAAAGTTCAAGAATGACACAAAATCCCCCCCCCCCTTTTTTTAAAGAAAAATATGTCATTATTTATTATTATTAATTGTTAAAAAAATACAGGAACGCCGTTCCCAGACGTTCCTGTTGGAGTCAACATCTGCTTTTTTTTTTCTTCCTCCTCTCATCAAATTAAAACCTAACTTTCGTTCATTTAAAGCCAACTGCAGTCGATAACATTTTTTGCTGGACGTATCATTTGAACAAAGTTAAGAACCGACACGTTAGTATGAGATAAGCATAAACGATCAAATCATGTGTTTGCTGGGCATATCATTTGAACAAAAGTTTTGAGCCGACACGACAGCATGAGATAAGCATAAAATGTTTTATTGTTTTTTTTTCTGAACAGCTGTTGTAACAGGCCGTACAGCCCGGCTAAACGACGCTCGGCGACGAGAGATCACGGGGGTATCAATCGCGTGCTCTGATTGGCTGAACGTTCTTGCTCATCGCCCAGGTCTTTAAGTAGGTCACATGAGGTCCTCACTGCTCTCCCTCAAGGCGCGTTGGATTTTCTGAAATAAAATCGTTCGTTCGAATTGATTTACAAAAGATGTCATACGCTGAAAAAAAACTATTAAATTTTTTTAAAAAGTTGTAATTAACATATCTAAAGGGTAATATTCGTTGTTTGAAGCAAAAAAATATTTTTAGTAACACTTGGATGTAATACTGACTTCTAAGTAATGTAAGTTAAAAGGTTAGGAAAGATAATTCAATATCCCTATTGACGCAGATTTGGAGTATGGGATGAGGAAGCTTATATTTGGTTATACCCCTTGTTATTTTCTAGACCTCAATGTAAATGCATTGTTTAATAAATGAATCGTGTATTTTCTTCTTCTAGTTCTTTAATTAAAATTAAAAAAAAAATTCTTTTAAGTTTGAATATATATATATTATAATTTTCCTGATGTGTTTGTTGTTACTTTTTATGGCCGGGTGAAATCCAACAAATGACCGGCCAAACCGGTCAAGTATTTTTATTTGGAGAATACAGGAGGCCAACCTGCTGTTTATAATACTTAACTTTTAGTTTAGAGTGGGGCTATTTGAAACTAATGAGTTCAGTTGGTGTTAGAATAATGTTGTTGTTTTTAAGGGATTTGTTACCTGACAGCCATGGGCGCCCGCAGGTAGGGGCAAGGGGGGGCACTTGCCCCCCCCCTGGATTGATTGGATAAAAAAAATTAAACAAAAATAGACAAAAAAATTATTAAAGTAAAGAGAAAATAAAGAGAACGTAACTAAGCTGATGTCCTGTCAGTTGGTTTACCATACAAATACGCTACAGTAAATTAAAACTACATTAAAACATGACTAAAAATTTTTTGCCCCCCCCCTGGAAAGTTAATCAATTTTTTGCCCCCCCCCCCGAAAGTTTTCTGCGGGCGCCCATGCTGACAGCTATCTTATGACATCTGACAGTTTAAAGCTTCGATTATTGGTGCGTCTCATGCCAGATAGTCTCAATAAATTCATAATTCATAAATTTTTAAATAAAATGGCCTGCGTTTATGATGGCTTTGGTCTTTAAAGGGCAGTGCTTTTTTTTCTCTTGTTAATTAATGCTCTAGATACATGTTGATTTTAAAAAAAGAGGGGGGGGGGAAAGAAGTTTATAGTAGGAGAGGGCACGTCGCATAGGTAACAAGATATTTGTAAGAGAATGTTCGAATATTGAATGTTATCTAATAGGACCTCGATTCCCCAGTGATTTCAGCTATTCAGCGTTACCTAGATGGGTCCCAGTTCACGATTGTCCCCCAAGTTACTGGATGTTATCTAATAGCCCCCCCCACCCCAAACGCACCAGTGCCTCCAGATACTGCCTCAGCTGTCTCACTTCAGGGACACTCCTGTCGATAGCTTGGCTAAAATCTTCATCTGACACTGACTTGTATCCAGCATCGTCGAATGGTGACAGAAAGGTGTTGTCATCTGACGGCTGGGGTGTTTCCTGTAGATGTTCATGAATTGTTAGTTCTTTTTGTTATACACACTCTCTGTCATAACTTTGATATACTCTCTCCGTAATGCCTTTTTTTAAATATAATCTCTCTATAATTAATTCTTTTATATAATTTCTCAATAATGACTTTTCATATACTCTCTCAATAAATACTTTTTATATACTCTCTCTAAAATGAATTCATGATATACTCTCTATGTAATGACTTTCATATACTCTCTATAATGATTTTCTATACAACCTCTCTCATGATGACCTTTTTGTGATAATAACGACTGAATTATATATTATATAAAAACAAATATATTCTCTATAATTAATTTTCATATTGACTTTGATTATCTACTTATACTCTGTATGTTCTACTCTTATTGTATTCATTATAACTTTTTTTTCAAATTGCCTTTTTTTATTTTTTTTTACTAATTTTGGCCCTTTTAATTTTTCATTGGGTTATATCCAAACCTATTTCTTTTTCTTTTAAACTTTCGAATTAGCCAATCGGAGACATTTATAAATCCTATAGAGATACGTTTGTATAAAAATAGATTGCAACTCAAAAGTGAGAGGAGAAAATAAAGGAAGTGACGCGACGCATGGCTAACCTGCAACAAGCGGTTGAGCTGTTGGGCGTCTGAGATGAGAACCCTGTGAAGAAGGCTGGGTGGTATTTTCTCGGGACTCATGTTGGGGTCAGACCGCTTGCCATTTCCTTAATAAAAGAAAAAAGAGAAAAAAAAAGAGAGAATGAAATCCGGTGTTAACTCAATATGTAATCTTTTTTTTTTTCCTTTTTTTTTCCTTTGGTTAAATTGTTTGCTTTTAAAACGACACACAAAATAATTATTAAAAATATATATTATATGAAAGTTAATACAGTTTTTATAAATTATAAAAATAGATCCCTTTTTCCCTTACAAAACTTGCATAGAAAACTCAGCTATGTACAGAGAGTTAAGTCGTTGCTTCGGTAAGTTAATATCCATGTTAAGGAAAGCTACATGACGTCATGTAGATATCAAATCTTCTTTTGAGCTTGTTTCATAGTTTCACTTATATATATATATATTTGCCGTTTTGCAATTCTAAAGACGTGCCATCTTTGCGAATGGTAAATTTCATGTAAGGGAATTGATGGCGTTGGGGGTATGAAGGAACTGATGGTGGAATGCAGTGAACCATAAATAATATAGTTGGAATACAGTTTTGTTTTTATTGAATCATGTCTTGAAATTTATTTGAGCAGAGACCTAATCCTTGTTTCCTGTTTAAGGGATTAGTGGAAGATTTTACTTTAAAAAAAAAAAAACACACACACACATTTCTAAAGGGTCGTGCGCCAATAAATACGCCGTCATTTTGAGAACCGTCATAAAAAAATATAGAAACCGGTGAAGCTTGTAGGAATAAATGAAGCAAAGAAAGAGCTAACGTAGTGTACGGAAATGTATTAATCGTACGCAGTGGCGTAACTAAGGTGAGTGGAATCCACGCTACGTATTAGAAGAGCGAGATGAAAGATGTGATATTACTTTTTAAATTTTTTTTTTTTTTCGTAGAGAAAACTTTTTTTTAACGCAATAGGGGGGAAAAATATTGTTTTTAAATCCTTTATATTAACCCCCCCCCCCTTTTTTTTTCTTCTTTGGCTGGTTGGAAAGCTGGGTGGCATAATCTTCCAGTGGCTAATTGACCAACGTCCCGTCAAATTATCGAGCTGACAATTGGCTCAGAAACTCTTTTTTAAATTTTTTTTTTTTTTTCGTATAGAAAACTTTTTTTTAACGCAATAGGGGGGAAAAATATTGTTTTTAAATCCTTTATATTAACCCCCCCCCCCTTTTTTTTTCATCTTTGGCTGGTTGGAAAGCTGGGAGGCATAATCTTCCAGTGGCTAATTGACCAACGTCCCGTCAAATTATCGAGCTGACAATTGGCTCAGAAACTCCTTGACGATGACAAGACATTCTTTAAAATTTTCAGGTCCACCCTACAACCCAAACTCCCCAAAAATCAGTGTTTGCTTTCATTTTTTTTTCAAGCGGAACATGCAGGACAACATGTCACCTTTTGATATGTTAATGACAGCCTCTACAGATCAACATGTCACATTTTGATATGTCAGTGACAGTCTCTGCTGATCAACATGTCACATTTTGATATGTTAATAGCAGCCTCTACTGATATATTGAGAACCAGTGTGTTCTTCTCAAAATGTCACATGTTTATATGTTAATGACAGCCTCTACAGATCAACATGTCACCTTTTGATATGACAGTGACAGTCTCTGCTGATCAACATGTCACATTACATTTTTTATATGTTCATAGCAGCCTCTGTCGATCAACATGTCACATTTTGATATGACAGTGACAGTTTTTGCTGATCAACATGTCACCTATTGATATGTCAGTGGCAGCCTCTACTGGTCAAGATGCCACATTTTGATATGTCAGTTCGTGGCACGCTGTGATATGCTAAGGACAGAGCCTCAACTGATCTGCAGCCGGGAAATAACAGAATATGCAGACTGAAACATCCTCAAAGAGAAGTTCAAAGACACGACGGAACGGACACAGTTTTAACGCATCGATGAAAGATGATACGTTTCCAAATGCATACAACATTTTTGCCATGCGTGAGCTGTTTTTGCCATGCTTGGACATCAATCAATTAAATAAATCTGATCAGCTGTGCAATTTAAAGTTGAATTCCTATATTACCTATTTCAACGTGCGTTTTTTTGTGTGGTTTTTTTTTGGTTCCGGATGACGGAGAAAGCAGTTAAATCTGTTTAATTTATTATCAAGATCCCTAGGTTCCAAGAACATGACCTTGCCGCCAGCAAAAAAAACAAAACAACAACAACAAAAAAAAAAGCAACAACAAAATAATAGCGACAATAGCAAAAACAACAACAATAACAACAACATTAACAACAATAACAATAATAACAACAACATTAACAACAATAACAATAATAACAACAATAACTATAACAAGAATAACAATATCAATAAGAATAACTAATTTCCATGCGGCACGCTACCTAGATAGGTTGTCTACTCTTGGTGTAAACTGTGAACATTTATAATGTCTAGATTTTATTTTATTTTCAAAAACTATGAAAACGGAAATTATTCACTTATAGGAGACCATTTCAGGATAGCTACCCTTCCCATCATTCAGTGCCAAACGTGAGGATAGCTTCTTGCCTAATTGCCATGACGATGGGCCCATTAAGTGGTTCACCATGACAACAGTGATAGCCAATAATGATAGCCACAAGATGTTTATTCATTTGTTTAAAATGGTAGCAGTAAGATGTAAATTTGTTTTGAAAATGATTACAGCAACTGAGATGTTCTTGCGATTTAAATGGCAACCACATGATGTTAATATGTTTGAAATGATAGCCATACGATTTGAATGTGTTTAAAATGATAGCAGTAAGATGTTAAATTTGTTTTAAAATGATAGCAGTAAGATGTTAAATTTGTTTTAAAATGATAGCAGTAAGATGTTAAATTTGTTTTAAAATGTTAGCCATAAGAGGTTAATTCTATTTAAAATGATAACCTTACGATGTCAACACTATTGACTGGGACAAGCATGTTTCAGTGACGCTATACGTCACCCAGTAAATGATAACATTTCTAGCTGTGGTCTTAATTCACAAATTTCAGTATCTAGCCACATTCAAAAAAAAAAAAAAAAATTCAATGTCTTTTTCCATATTATTGGTGAAATCAAATGACATGTATTTTCAAACTGTCCATATTTTTTTGACGGTTTTGTTCCATCTTCAGGCTGACGTTTTTACTCCCAACTTGTTGACCATTGAAAGTGTGTTCCCACTAAGACCATAGTCCAATCAGTGGGTTTTGCGTTTATTTTCGTCTCTAATTAATTGAACGTCTGGCTCTTTGGCTCCTTCGGGGCTAGAGAGTTTCTCTGCTATATTAAGACCCGCGCGCGCGCTGTGCCCCACATATCAACCAGTGGGAAGAAATCCCTTAAGAGTACCCCCCCCCCCAACCACCCTTTCTGTGATTCCCATTAATTGACTGGGTGAACAGAACATATCGCGTTATTTCCAACATTCTGCGCACATTGATCAATGAATGTTTGTTTAATTAATAAGAGCCACTGCTTAAAATTAAATTAATTTTAAACTAGAAAATACATTAACTGCATGAAAAGTGTTTTCAATTTATCGGTGGTGACTTGAGTTCAGACCAGTGCTGTTCCCTTCTAATTTAAAAAAAAAAAAAAAAGAAAAGAAATTAAGATAATATAATTTCACTCACACTAATTTAAAACCACTGCACTCCATTAGCAGTTAGAGCTTATTATAGCGCTTTAAATCATGGGGTTATTCAAGGGAGACCAATAGTGTCACGATCACTTAACCCAATATTATTTCCCTTAGTTTCTTTCTACCCATTTAATTAAAACAAATATATTGCATATTCATGTATTGAGAGACAATATTATTTGTCTCAATTCTCAAAGGCAAACACATTTAAAAAGAAAAGCAATGCATTGTATATTATTATTATTTTAAAAAAAAACACACACACACACACAAATTGAAAGCAAAACACAGATTTCTGATGAAGTTTAAAAAAAAAAAAAATTAAAAAAAACTCGGCGAAAGCCACCATTATTACCGCTGCCGGAATCCCTCGGACTCGAGCTAGCGCCCCCTGGCGAATCAAGAATTTTTGTTCGGCCTCCGTCTTCTCGCAATTTTTTTTTTCTCTTCTTCTTCTTTTAAAAGCATCAACAAAGCCAAACACAAACAGGGGGAAACGAATGTCGGCGACTAAAGCAAATGAAATCTAAACATTTCGCCCCCCAGACCCTCGGCGAGCGCCCTGTGACGTCACAGAGCATTGCTGAGTTGTTGTTTTCACTCACCCGGCCTCCCCCACCCCCCGGCCCCCTTCTCCCACCCCCCTAAAGCTCTCGGGCCTCTGAGCGATCGTTTTCAATTAACTGTTTTGGTTTTTTGGGGTATCGTGTGGAAGTTGGGGTTTGGTTGGGGGGGGGTATGGGGGAGGGGTGGGGTGTAGGGCAAGGGTTAGACTTGAATAAGAGTGGGACTGGGTTGGGGGACTTTATAGTGTGTTTGGGGGGGAGGAGGGAGTTTGGGGGGTGGGCGGACTGTGATGATAAACGAATGACCCAGTGCACTGTTCATTAAGGAGGATTCACGTTGTTTGACGCGGCGCGCCGTAGGAGAAACTTTACGATCGTCGTTTGGTTCGTATGTATATGATAAGAAGTCGACCCAAAAAAAATTATGTCAAGTCCTATCATCATTTATTCGTTTATCCCCTGGGGGCCATGGGCAGTGGCGTAGGAAGGGTGGGGCGGTGCGCCCCGGGTGGCACTAAGCCTGGCTAAGCCACTTGGTTTGTATTATTATTATTATTTTTTTTACATACATACGAATTCGTCTAGTTTATTTATTTTACTTTTTTAATAATAATAATAATAATATAAATATATATTTTTAAAAAGGGTTATAAAATTCCTTCTATATTTGAATCCATTATTTATGTGTTAACCATGGTAGCTAACGGCTCTTGTAAAGTCTTATTGCTAACCCGCTGAAGTGCATACTAACTAACAATCATAGTCATCTGGAAGAGGTTCTGAGCTAGCACTCTCTACAGTCCAGCCTGGTGCTGAGGCAGACGGCTC